GGAGTTTGGGAACAGACACACTACCTCAAAACCAGCACACCCTGCTAGACTTGCCTCAGCCCTCCCCCATGTTGGATTACTTGTTAATATTTCTGAGATCCTTGGAATATACATGTCGCTAAATAAACAGTGTAATTTACACTAAGATCTCCCCACTAGAGATGAGCTGTCAGTTTCCCTGAGACAGCATACAACAAAATTAACACAGCTGCTTTGAAGGGAAGAGCTGTTAGCTGGGAGACATCAGTGAGTTTCTGATCAAATGCAATACGCGTTTGGGCAGGGCTCAAATTCCCTCCAAGGAACCCATTTACCTGTCTCATGTTCATGAAACCATGAAAAAGAAAAATACTTGTTTCTTTCACTTTGGTAAGATACTGTCTAGATCACTTTCATTCAAACTGGGGAGGAGCGGTGACAGAGGGTAACACACTGGTAATTTACTCAACACGGAATACATTCACACTCCCTAACATCGCTTTTCCCTGCGCAGCGGGCTAAGGGCTGAGTCTGGGGAGGCGAGGCAGGGAAGCCCGGAGTCTGGGGAGGAGCGGCCACCGTTACCTGCTCTCAGCGCGCCGTAGGCCCGGTAGAAGAGGAGCACGGGGTCCGCGCCCAGCCGTGCCAGCGCCTCGTCCGCCGCGGCCCGGGCGTGCTGGAAGAGCCCCTCCTGGCAGTAGTAATTGAGCAGCGCCTGCGGGGAAGCGGCCGCGGGTCACCGGTGCCAACGCTTCGCCATGGGACGGTCCCGGGGACACCGCGCCCCGAGCCCATCGCGGCCAGAACCCGTCCCGCCCCAGCCCGGCCGGCCGCACTCCTGCCCGGCACCCCCGGCCGCCCCTTCCCCTCCCCTCCCTCCTCTCTCCTCCCTCCTTCCCAGCTGCTCCCTCCCTCCGCCGGGGCACCCACCTGCTGCACCTCAGCGTCCATCGTCGCTACCCAACGCCACCGCGGGGGGGCTCCGGAAGGGGGAGGACAGCGCCGCGCCATTGGCTTGGGCGGGAAGGAGGCGGGAGAGACACGGGAAGGAATCCTGTAGGAAAGCGGCGGGGCGGGACCGCAGGGCGGGCCTGAGGCAGCGGGATGGCGGCTCCCGGCGCCGTGGCGCCCCCTGCCGGCCACCTGGCGGGCGGCTGTGCTTGGGGGCGCTCACGGGCGGAATGGCGCATGAGAGCTTTGGGAATGTATTTATTTCCTTGCTTTTCTCGGCTGAACGTACGACTAAGTGGCCCACATTCCATACGTTTCATAATGTAACTGAGCGCTTCAATTTATGTGACACTTCTCTGAGAAGTACGATAGCAATAGGGTCACATCAGATAGAGAAACTTCATTTCTTCTTCCCCCTTTCTTTCCTCCTGGAGAATTAGAGTTGCAAAGACTAGTAAAATTCAGGTTTTCCTGTGGAAGCGAGAGCATTCTCAGCCATAATTTCTAGCCACCAGAAATAAAGGTTACAAAGAGCATTCCTTTGGAATGGGAGTGCAGTCCATTCAGGAAAGCTGGCGGTGATGGCACCAAGTACAAGGAGGAGAGCCCAACCTGCACGGAGTTTGTAGGAGAAGCTGCTTGGCTCTTCTGGCAGAGTGCTCACAGTGACCTCCCCTAGCAAATCCATCACTCACGGGCTTCTGTCCCAGCTTCTCATGCCCAGCACCTGGAGGTGCCCAAGAAGCACTGTGCAATAAGCATGCTTGTGTTCCTTGTTGGCCAAGACAATCCTCTGAATGTCCTGCCGTGTGAACGTTCTGCTTGACTTGTTCTTCAACATTTAGGCCTCTGTAACATTTAAAACCTAATAGAGGTACGAGAAATAAGTTGGAGGTTTTTACATACTTTTTAAGGTAACCCTTTAAGACGTCTTTTGTCCACATATTAATCTGAAAAATACTTATCTTTTCACTTTTATACTTAGGCATTTTTAATAGACTCCAACTGTCAAACACTTTCTTGGACATCACCTAGTGAATGTCAAATACTTTCTTGGACATCACTTTAATCGAAGTTGTAGACCTCATTTTTCATAATGTATTTCACAACAATTTTACAGAGAAAAATGTCCCTCCCCTGAAAAATTTGTGATGAATTTCAGGGAAAATGCTATGAAATTTTATTTCTGCATTAGCCACTAAGCAAGCATACAGACTACAACTGCTCACCAACTGGTTTCATATTAAGTTCAGTATTCACCTATGAGCGTTTTTGTTGTAAGTTGTAGGTGAATGCAATATAAAATTATGTAAACATGTAAAATTAGTATTTCCAGAAATTCGCTGAAGCAATTGATAAAGAATAAGGAACAGGCCCACTTTCCAGATGCATTTGTTTTTCCCCTATCAGTACTCACAAATGGTTGCTTCTAGGAAGGGAGTACTTGCAGAGAGATTTTTTAAAATTCTTGAGGAAAAGACCAATGATTTATTCATTCCAACGCCATTTCACCTTTTTCAGAAATGCACTCAAATGTGAGATGCTCTGTAGCCTGTTTGTGAGCAGCACCCAGCAAGAATAAACTGGCTCTCCATCCAGGCTGAGGAATGTCATGGATCTAGTACTATTTTCTGTCCTCATTTTGTCCTTGTAAACTCTTGAATGCTCAGTTCTCATTTCTGTGACTGCTCTGAGCCTCCTGGGACACACAGAGGGCAGCTCTGGTATTTGATGGCTGTTCAGCCCACTGCATAGAGCTGCTGCATGAAGGCACCCAGGGCAGAACTATTGATACATGCAGAAGCATCATGCTCACTGTCTAACACACATTAAATAAGAAATTCTTAATTAGTAACTAACAAGCAAGTCCCAATGATTTTCTTACATGGAAGAACAGTATAGCTGTTGTAAAGGTTTTCAGTATCCTCTCATTCTGTGGTTTAAAAGCATTCTCTTTTAATATTAATGTTAGATAATAAACACAAAAGGAACGTACAATAAAAAATGTAATCTTTATTATTTTGACGCATTAATAATGTTCTTTAGCATAAGTTAGGGTAATAGCATTTTCCTGCATGCAGTTCACTAATACAGATTTAGTCCATAATTTTAATAAAAGTAATCTATATTTAATTTTCCTGTGTAAGAAACATAAAATGTCCTGATGGATTGGATTATACAATTTTGCTACTTTCTCTGTGAAAAAATATCGTGGACCCTAGATAACATTTAGAACTGTTCTAGTACAGCATGAATGGAAAAAAAAGTGAGTAAATATGAGAAAAGATTCAGGATTCTCTGAAAGAAAGGTTGTATCTGAAAACTTATGATGCAGGCACTGCTTAGACATTCAATTTGAACTTTAGACCATTTCCCAACTGAAAAAAAACCCCAAAAACATAGCTTTTTAGAAGCAAATTATTAACTTATTTCGCAGAAATTATTTATATGTTGGCAAATACTGTAAAAAATAAGATCCTACAGTTATCCATTCACTTAGTTATATCTTGTTCTCTGGAGTTCTTCTGTGAAAAAGTGCTATGGACTGAAAGTAACAAAAATGTTGTGACATCAACCTGAAGATAAAATTCAGTTCTTGTTTTATGTACATAATGCTGAAAAATAAAATAAAATGATTTTTACAGTATTTATATTTGCTTATAAAATCCTAACATTATTTTCAACAGGTCTAGTAGTTTTCAACATTTGTACAGTTTGGATATACACTATATGCTTTTCACTGAAAATTCAGAAATGTAAAACAAATAAGCTCCTAAATAGCTGCAAAATATTGCTTAATGGTATGGAGAAATGAGGTCTTTTTGAGTACTTTATTTCATTTAGCTCTGATGTATGGCTTCCCATGATTAAGAATCCTGGACAGTTAAAGGAATAGCAGCATAGGCAATATAAACATGCACTGATTGCATCCAAACTATCTATAATGGTAGATAATACATAATTTTACCTGTTGAATGCTTGCACACTACACTTATTGTGGTACATATTTGATGCAATAAATGTGCTAAAGTCATTATCTGTTTGCTCAAACATGCACCACAGGTTAAAAATTATTTACATAGCAGAGGGCTTTTCATTAACGTGTACAACATCAACCTTACTGAGAGCTGAAGATGGCTAAACAATACTGCAGGATAAAGCAGAACAACTTTACAGAGGGCTCTTTTTGATCAATTTGGTGGGCTGAGGCAGATTCATTTAGTATTTGTATGCAGAAAGACATTTGACAAAGACAAAATCTGTGACTCCAGACCTAGGAGGAAGTTTGCATCTTCTGAAACTTAATGGCCTGTGCAAAAAGTAAACCATGTTTACTATTCTTGTGAGTTGTAGAGGACTTTACAGGCATACTAAGACTTGTTTGAACATGATACAACATGAATACATTAATTAAGCACCTCAAAATCTGTTATTCCTTTCCAGAAACACTGTGCTAAAAAAAACTGTTGTTCTTTATGACTTAATGTTATTTTCATGCATGATCTATAAGTGCAGCATGCCTTCATGCAAATAATTTCTGTGTGTGTATTAGTTGTATAATAGAACACCTGGCCCTTGTACCTGTAAAGGTGTACTTAATTCCCTGCCCCAACAGAAGCCCCATTTACAAAAATAGTCACATATAATAAACAACATATGAATAAAAACAAGATGAATCCACCAACACAGATTTTGTAAAAATATGAAGTATGTGGCAGTTGAAATGCAAACAGTGGATACAGTTACCATATTGTTTTATGCTAAACACACAAATACTTGGTTTCACACCCCTTTAACTGGTCCCTACAGTCTGTGTAGCCATTTTTTCTCTCCTCTTCAGCAGTGTCAGCTGGTAGTGAGAACAGTAACCTCCTGTCAAGGTTGTTTCTTCTTATCACAGTCACAGTCACTGACAAGGGGTCACTGTCTTTTAATAGGCACTGACCTTTAATGTACAGTATATTTGTAAAAATTGTCAGTTTGGCATAGACCTCCTTCAGGAGTCCTGTTGACACAGACACAGACTATGAACTACTTTGCACATCTATGATTTTGCTTGCTATTTGCTCTTATTTCTGACCATCTTTATCTTCCTTTTCATGCTTTTCTTTGACTGGCCTTATTACACGATCATAAGAAGGTGGACAAACTGCTGTTGATGCGGTTATATCTGTTTTCTCTGTAAATGAGTTTTCATTTAATTTGTCAATAAGGATTTCATCTTTCATACCCTGACCAGCCCCACCTTCAGTTTTATTTTTGTTATAGATAAAGGAAGCTTGTTTTACTGTTCGTTTTAAAAGGTGACGTCTATAAGCACGCTGAATGATGACAGCAGACACCTCCTCCTGCTTTCTTTTCAGTGTGGTTGTAATGGGTTCATAGGAAGCTTTAGAGGGATTGGATGCCATAAATCGATCTTCCATCTGTATTCTGAGGGCGTCCATCTCCCCACTTTCCCCCAATACACGCTTTGTGAAAGCAAACAAGATGTCAAGGCAGTGAATTCTGTCACCGCTCACCATGGGCAGGTCCATTGCAATAAGCTGGACTTTGTTTGGTTTTGGTATGTGGAGAGGTGGCTCTAGTGCTGCTGCAAAATCTGATAATTTCTTGAATTCTATGAATTGTGTTGCATCAGGATCAAACTTCTCCCAGACTTCATAGAACATCTCAAAGTCATCCTCACTCAAGGGTTCAGCGCTTTCTTCAGTAGCAACACTGAAGTTCTCCAAAATCACAGCAATGTACATGTTCACCACTACCAGAAAGGATATGATAATGTAGCTGACAAAGAAGAAAATCCCAACAGAAGGGTTGCCACAGTCACCTTTCACAGAGCTCCCCGGGTGAGCTTTGTTAGGGTCACAGTCTGGTTCCCCACTGTTCAGAATTGGGGCCAGCAAACCGTCCCAGCCAGCGGACGTGGTGATCTGAAACAGGCAGATCATGCTGTTGCCAAACGTTTCAAAGTTGAACATGTCATCAATCCCATCTTCTCTCTTGACATATGCAAAGTTGGACATGCCAAATATGGCGTAGATGAACATGACCAGGAAGAGCAGCAGCCCAATGTTGAACAAAGCAGGAAGAGACATCATCAAAGCAAAAAGCAGAGTGCGGATTCCCTTAGCGCCTTTAATGAGGCGCAGGATTCGACCGATTCTGGCAAGCCGGATGACTCTGAATAGTGTGGGAGATACAAAGTACTTCTCAATCATCTCAGCTAAGAACATTCCTAAAAAAGAAAAAAAAAGAAAAAAAAAATCAAGGTACATCTCCGTTTATTCTCTGTATTGCAACAGAAATTTAGAAACAAAGTTTTATAACTGGCACTTTTATGTAGCAGTTAAAGATATTCTGTAGATTACACTTGCATAAATTCTGTTTTAGCAGTTATAGGTAATATTTGCAGGTGCAATAACTGTTGGATGATTATAACAGTTTAGATGGTTGGTTTAGCCAAGTTACAAGTTAAAATATAAAACTGAATGACTTGGCTGTAAATCTTGCAATGGCAAAAGCTCACCATATAGCTCTATTCAAGTAAAAGTTCACCTCCTATTCATTTTACCTTCTTTTTTGTTTAATTGGCAAGACTTACCTACTATAGAGAGAATGACAACTACAAAATCAAAAATGTTCCAGCCTATAGTGAAGTAGTAATGGCGAAGTGAAATTAATTTCAGGACACATTCTCCAGTGAAAAGGACAATGAACACGAGGTTTATCCAGTATAAAATATTTTCCATTTCTTTGCTCTGGTCATCTGTTTCTACCATCATGGTAACCATGTTAAGACAAATAAGAATCATGATGCTGATGTCAAATACTTGCTGTGTCACAAAATCAAAAACCATGCCTTGGAATTTATTCTGAGGAAGAAAGAAAAAAAGAGACATCCAATACAATCTGTAATTTGTTTCCTTTTCCTGTTAGAAGAAGAAAGCAGAAAAACACATGCAGTAAGGCTTAAATAAAATTGCAACTAGTGGTCATGAGTACTCAAATACAACAACTTAGTTTAGCATCCTGTATTGCATATTCATATGTAAAATAGTTTTAAGTGAAAATTAATTTTTTGTTTTATTTTTATTTTCCATTTCTGCTGACTAATGCCCTGGTTACTGTTAATTTTCAATTGGCATATTTCTGCTCTCCTTGTATCAATAAAAACTCTTTGTAAATAACTATTTGTCTGATGTGTATAAATAATTTTACCCCTGGTCTTGGTATAGGTTTTTGTGGTTTTTTGGATCCCAGCTTTTTCATTGCATTGTAGTATTTCTTCTGCTCTTCTGTCATAAATATGTCTTGACCTCCAAAGTAAAAACATGAAATCAGAACTGGTTATAATCACATTTATAAGCAGTGCTGAAACAAACTCTTAAAGAAATATGATTGAGTCATGCAAAAATCAAGAAGTCTAAAAGAAGACTAAATTGGGGAAAATCTCTTAGATATCAAATGCAGCTGTCTACAATCTAAGCATTTAGTCTGTATCCAGTACTGTATCTCTCAAAAAAAAATTAAAAAAAGAAATGCAAGCAACATTTTGTTACAGTTATTTTTCTGGAACTTCAAGAAATAATTTCCAGTACCTCTCTTCTTTTATAGGAAGAGATACGGTAAATAGTATTTGAGATAAATTCAGATAGTCTGGGCTGCTCAATAGTGTCACTTCTGAACTGTGATTTTAGTGAAACAAAGAAAAAAGACAAAGTCAGGTTTTCAGTACACGAATGTGCTTTAGGTATCTCTAGTTTAGCAATCCCATGAGCATTGGGGCCCAATGTCTTCAAGGTTCTTGAGAAGATGGATTATCAGACTTTGGAGAAATGGAGAAATTTAGCTGAAGATTGAAGCACCCTTGGTGCTATTAACGGCAAAAGGCTCTCTGTAAAATAATTTTGATTAGTTCTGTGTTCAATGAAGTTCTGTTTAGCAAAAGCATGAACCTGCCTTTGTAGGGTGACAGTGAAGATAAAGAAGGAATTATGGGTCTTTCATATTTCTAATCAAAATCCATAGTAACCTTGTTTTAGAGATAGCTTGAATGAAAACCTATGAGTCTTCCCATACCTCTTGAAAATTTTTTCTTGATAAGAGATACTTGCAGACATCTAATTCCAGGAGTGCCAATGCACACATAGAACTGGATACAGCCATTTGTGCATGAGTGTGTGGGAAGCTTGAAGATGTGGGAATGCATGGACCATAAGCTGGACATATACCTCTTTATTTCTACATTTATACCATCCAAAAATCTTTCTCATTATTAATAAACCCAGAGAAAGTGATGCAGTCCAGTAAAGTCAAAGTAAACTAGTAATTCATAGCTGCTTTGGTCCTTGAGCTTTCATTGCTTTATCTATTTACAGAAAATAATTTTAAAGGCAAGCATCTCCTACTCAGACCATGTACACCAGTGAGATTATCTACAGCTGGATCAAGCAAGAAGACTTCATGAAATTAATCATGAAAAAACAGATGACTTGAGGAAGAGTAAACTAGGCATTGAAAACAGAAGGATCTGTCCCATTCACTAAATGAAAAATCTTATGACTTTAATGAATACTGCAGGCATGATTTTGTAATAACATACTGCTGGTTTTTCAATATTGAATAAGCCATGGGTATACTTTCCCTATACCAGGCACCTACAAAAATTCGTTATTTTAGAATTTCTTTAGAAGGGAAATGAAACAATACTTATCTTCTTTTTTTGCTGATTGAAGTTGTCAATAATGACACCAATGAACAAATTCAGGGTGAAAAAAGACCCGAAAATTATAAAGATGACAAAATACAAGTACATATACAAGTTGTCTTCATACTTGGGTTGCTGTAACACCTAAGGAAAAAAATAAAAAGTGAAATATGATTCCTAAGACTTCATGTGAAAATTTCAACCAAACAAGTGGCAACCTTGCATGAAGTGTCCCCAGTAATTTGTATTTGGACAATGTTCTTATCACTTATATCAATATATTTTGCCTATTCCACCTCTTGCTGATAGCACCTGGAAGTTTGCATTCAGTTGTCCACATGCTGTTACCACAGAATCTCATACTAATTTAGTTTTTTTCATTCTATTGAATTATGTAGGATAAATACACTTGTAGATAGACCTCAAAAAAAAAAGATAATTTAAAATATTTGCTGTACTTACATCTCTTGAGTCAATAGCTGCATACATAATATCCATCCAGCCTTTAAATGTAGCCTGTAAATAGTACACACCTGTTTAAGCATTCTAAAGACAATTCATTTAATAATTTCCAGCAGCGCAGTACAGCATCAGGAATAATTAGTAGCATTAGATTTCTTAAGAATTTTGCCTTTTGGCTTTTTATTCAGCTGCTCATCAGATATACTGCTGTGTATCCCATTACTTTGTGCTGATATGAACATTTTAAGCAGTAAGTATGATTAAGTTATTTCTGATTTCTAATTACCAAAAATTATAGAAGACATTTTAGTTCATCAAATCATGTGAACCGAAAAAGCTATGTACAGCTTTTGTACTGAGTGGTGAATGGTCTTATGTAACTGAGTTGTCACCAATTAAGACTACTATGTCGTTTCCAAATCAGAGGTGGCAACAAAAGGGAACCAAAAATTTGATCATCTCAAAAAGTATTTTCCTATAATCAGAATCTACAATGAAAGATTTTAATAATTCTATGCTCACTTTAAATATAATGTATTGTGCTTTACAGAGTCTAGATGTCTCATACATTCTGAGATAAAATAGTAGGAAGTGTTTTATGTGCATTGAATACTTAATATGCTTCATAAATGACAGCATTTACTGACATTTTGGAGCTATTTCCTCTGCCAAAATCTGTAAATTTTTATATTTGACAGTGAGGTGTAGATTGCTTCATCAGAATGCTTGAAACAGAAAGTAATTTTCTCTGTTGTGGCAATTAGTTCTCTTTTAACTAGGCAAGATCTCCAAGTAGAAATCGCTTGGTTTTTAACCCAGTTATGCCCAAAAATACAGCAAAAAAAGGACATAGTTCTGTGTTGTTTAATCCTCATTACAATTTTGCAAATCAAGGCTGCAAATCATTGGTTCCTTAATTTTCCTTGCCACAGAGACCACTTGCAGGATAGAATCAGGAATGGAATACTCTTCATCCATTATTTTTGCTGTGTCTCCATCATCTTGAGGTTTCATTTCTAGTAGAAGTTTCAAAAAAACCTGTTTTTATGCAGGACCTGGAGTAGTTTGGCATCAATCTGTAGTTAACTTAAAATGAGAAAAAATTATTTTCTTAAAGGACAGGTCCGTGCACTTTTGAAACAGCGGAATACTGAAAAGCTCATGATTATCCTTAGCTACAAATCCAGTGTGCAGCAACTTTCACATCTTGGGGTCAACACAGAAAATACAAAGCTCGGGCAACTAACAGTATGAAGGTGAAATCAAAATGTACTATCAAAGGATCAATAAATCAAGAATAAATCTGAAACAAATAGAAGTCAGCTGAAGAATTCCAAGTCCTTGTGGTATACTTGGACTGCAAGGGATTAGGAGAGGTAGATAAGGTCTATTTATGTAATTACATTTTGTTCTCAAAGGCTTTTAATGGTTAATACTCCACAACCTTATAAAAATATGCATTCTGGCACTTCCTGTTATTATTTCCTAACACTTACATCCTTCTGTTGCTATTTAAGACTCACTTGTCATAGCCATTACATATCCGGAGAATTGCAATAATCACATTCATGCAGCTTTTTTATTTTTTTTTTTGCAAATTGATTGTTGCTGTCTTTCCTTTCTAGGCAGTGATCACTGTTCCTTCAATCTTCCAATGCATGCCTTGTTTTCCAGAACTTTGATCACTCTCCTTATTTTCCTCTGAGTTCTATTACACTAGTTCATCTCTTGAAATGGCAACCAAAACTCAGTATTTCATCTAACTCACTATCTAACTCACTATTTCATCTAACAAGGTCTAAATAGGGCGAGATGATCACTTAATGTCTTACAGTGCTACTTTTGTTGCTGTCTTGGTACACTATTTTCATTTTTTGGAATGTCATGACTTCCTTGAAATTAGCACTTGAGTCTGAAACACCATGTGAAAAGAATGGGCACACTTTTACTTCAGAAAGATCATGCGAATGATGGAGTGGCACTTGTGTAAAGTGTGTGCTGTTGTCTCAGATTCAGACACATGGTGATCTTTGCATATCCTCCTCCAAGCAAAACAGAAGAATTATTGGGTTTTTTGCAAATTTATTGGTGTAGCCAAGACTAAGTAGAGTCAATTAAAAAACCAGACTAATTTGGAAATATTAAGTTTCACCATCATCACTAAAGTACTGCACTATAAACAGATAGTACCCTTTCATCTAGAGATAGGAAATAGAGCTGAAGAACTGACCTGTATTATTATAATTATTGGTTTTGTTCTTAAAAAGGAAACTTGAAAAGAGTGTGAGGTGGAAAAACAGAAATATAACATATTGCTATCTTGTGATTTCCATAGTGAGTTTCATAAAACTAAGATATTAAAATTTTTGAAGAAATTAAGAAAGAGAGTCAAGGCATCCCATTCAGTGAAAGCATTATTTCTGCTGTAGATGCATAGACCTGCTTATTCTTATCTGCAGAGTGTTCTCTTTAAGAGAAATAAGGTATCATTTGTGTATTTTTGTATCCTGAAAGAAAATAATACAGAAAATGACAGAAAGCAGATTATTAGTTTCCATTTTGCATATTTCCATATAAAATATATTGTATATTCTCAGTGACACTAAATCAGGAGTAATTAATTGATTTCAAAGATTACAGCAGTATAACTGAAGTCAGCATCAGTTCCAAATGTTTTTTTTTCCACCAAGGAGATTTCAATGAGACATATTCAAATGCAGATTCAAATGTAATTGGAAAAGAACAATAGAACAAAAATCCACCATCTCCTTTACTATTGGTAAAAAATCATAGGTTTTTTTTCCCCCTGATAAATAATTTCTAAGGAAGTTGTAAGTCATGTTAGAGTTTTACCACTCAATTTCTTTACCAGAAATAATCACCACGAAGATTCACATTCCCTTTTGGAGATATAATAGCATCTTGCTTTTAAAATACTAACCTGCTCGAACTTTGAAAGTACCCTAAAGTTTTAGCCTTAGAATTCAGCTTCTGATTTTTTTACCATACACTTCAAGAGATGTGTTTTCTTACTGATACTAGTTAGAACAGTAGAATATAATATTGTGCTTTGAGACCCACTGGCTTGCCACATTTTATCCTGATAAGCAGGGTATACCCTTACTAGCAGGATAAAAGCAGGCCTCTGGGAGATTTACTTACCAAGGTATCCAAATACTAGGTTCAAGTTAAAAGGCATAAGGCTATAAAATTATTAGGGCAGATGCCACATCTCTTTGTGTACACCAACCTCTTCCTCTTCACTCATTCGTGCATGACAACTGTCAAAGGAATTTCTCCAGCAGATCTGTCTCTGCTTTGATGCTTCTCTTTAGGGACAGAGAAATACTCAAGCAAGTTCAGACCAAGAAAATGAAAAAAGAAGCTTGAAGATCCACATAAAACAGCATGATCTACGCTGTATTATAGAAGAAAAAAATTCTTATAGAAGAAATGTATACTTATATGACTGACAGCATGAATAATTATACTCCAAATTATGTAAGAATTCTGGAAAACAGTCTGATCAACAAAGTCCATAAAACTTGACTTTATCGATGACATGTATTGTTAGACTGTATTTTTGGGCAGAAAAAATTATAACATTGCTATAACACTAAAGGTTTTCCACACAAACACCTCCCATGAAAAAAAAAAAAAACAAGAAACATCAACCAAAAATTAGATAATGTTCTTTTCCTAGATCCTTCATTCAGGAAAGTCATTCACCAGCACTGCCAAGTAAACTCAAGAAAGAGCTTGTTAGAGAGTTTCTTTTGCTTAAAGTTACTATCACACCTTTGCATTTTTTGAGCCCAGAATACTTCTTTCTGAAATTATCCCTCTGCTTTTGAGTGTTTCTGTGTGAAATATGTTTCTTTTTCATATCACTTTTAAAACAAGTTTTCTGTGATGGATAGACCCATATACTGCTGAAGACATTAAAAAAAAGTCACTTATAGGACTAAAATATTTATGTCTTTCCCAGAATAATAAGGCCCTCAGTGCCTTGGCTTGAAGTTCTTTTGGCTTGTTTTCATTTCGATTTTTTTGTCATTAAAATGGTTCAAACTTCCATTAGTATTAATTCCTATTAGTGATACAGATAGTAGGGACCTACATTATGGTTCTTGTAACCCAGAAAAGCTGAAGTGATTTACAGCATTCTTTGGCTGACTCAAAGCATGAGCCAGAGAGCAGAATGGAGAATGGAAATAATGGGGAATAAGAGGAAGCTTTCTGTATTTATTTTCTAGCTTCCTGGCCTTGTATCAGTAATTCATGCATTGATATTCTTCACAGAAATTGTCATTAGAAAAATGACATTGAACTCCCTGGGGTTATTTACTCGAGTCCAGCACTAGTAGAAGTCTGTGAGATTGTTAAGGTGGAGAACCAAATAACTTCAGTAGAAAGGCCATTAATGTTCATTTTAGGTAAACAGAAAGCATATCCATTTACAACCATGATTTTATAATCAGATTTTTCAGACTCAGTATATAATTTTAGGCAAAATGCTAAACTTTCAATAGCTTTCTCTTTGTTTCTGACACAGTAGTGGAGCTTTAACTGAGTCATACCTTAGTCTTCTTTCTATTGCTGCAAGCTGTTTAGGAAGGGTAGGAAAATCTAGGGCTATGACATACCTATTCAAGTCTCATGTTTGTTTTGACTTGATGGTTTTAGAGTCTTGTTCTACAGTTTGATCCGAAGTACTTTATGTATCAAATAGAAAATCACCTTATTGGTCTTTTTTGATTGAGAAAGCAATGTAAGAATCTCAAACAGTTATAAATTGTGGCCTTGCTTTCTTGAAGGTGAAAAAACATAGACTCTCCATATTTTAATGCATTAACTAAAAATCAAGCTGATATTATTCTTTCTTAGTCCTAAGGCTCTTATCATTCCATAACTGCAAAATCACTACTTACTGGCTTACTTACCAAACCCTAGGCAGGGTCAAGTTTCTGTTTTGTTCAGTCACAGAAATGCCCCTGTTTTTTCTGCTATGTCAAACAAAAAGACCCTGATATGTCAAACAAAAAGATCTTTTACAAGCGTTTTAGCAATAGAGAAAAATTAGGTGCTGTTGTCATGGACATTCTATTCACGCAAAAAAATCCTCCATCATTAAGCGAGGGTCTCATGGTCTTGCAAGATCTCTACAATGTAGATACTGCACAAACAAACAGGCTAGTCCTCCATGAGAGCTAGGTCCCCTTGTTGTAGGTCTAGATTATTTTTTCTGTTGGAATTGTGGGAACAGTTGTCAAATTTCTCCTAATTTGCCTCCCAAAAATTCCAATAATTTAAGAATCTAAGTCTTCATGTAAGGAAATATTTATATCTTTTCAATGAATAGAAGCTAAAATAATCTATGCAGAGCCAGGACACTAAAATAGATATGACTGCAAGTAGCTGAGGGGCGGTGATTGTGGCCACAAAGCCAGGAAAGAAATGAACCTGTAATAATTATTAGCGTCCCAGAGTAGAATAGGTTACTACTGGAAACAGAGTTTCAAACTACTTGGAAAGAGTTTTGTTGATGTCTTGTTTCTCCTGAACACCTGTAATGAAGCATTCTGCCTCCCTGGGTGAGGAGACCTCATAAATAAGGCAAAGCAAATAAGTACTTAAAATCTTTAGTTATCAAAATCAAATTGTATTCAGTTCAGTATTTTATTTCGTTAATACTATTGGTCCCTCTCCACTCTTTCCTTATATGACAGTAAAGTAAGTAATCATAGTGAAATTTAAATGTACAGACTTATCAGTCACAGAGGTGAGATGCTGTATCAGCTGGGAGAGGCAGTTCAAATTGCTCAGAGCTATTGTTTTAGACCTTGTGCAGGACAATGTCCATACCACTGCACCATGTTAATGATTTGTTTTACTGAGATTTTGTATAAACAACATAAAATCTGGAAGCTTATTTAAAAGCAATTAAAAAATGAAACCTAAGATAATGCAGATTCAGATAGTAACCTCAAAAAAAATTACGTAGAGGTTGCTGAAGGTACAGAATATAGATAAAAGTCCAGCATTTCCTTGATTCATGCTGGGTAAGATTGTTAGCTGCATCAAAATACAAAGATAGACAGTGTTGTGAGGACACAATTTTTGATAGTGAAGGCATAATCTTATAGTATCTCTCTGTATATATTTTCTTTCTTCTTCACTCAGATTTTGCTAAATAAACTCCATGAGGTCCTTATGGGCAGAAATATCAAGTAAATATTTCATAGATTATAGTATCAAGTGCTATTTTTCTTTTCCTATTTCTCTTCTGAATGAGAAATTGCTTTTTAGATTAGATCTGCACTGGTGGCAGCTACAAACCTGAGATGAGATTTATTTCCTCGATTTCTTTGTGACTTAATCACACCAATGGAGATTTTTTTTTTCAGCAACTGGAAAACTTAAAGTAGTTACATACTGAACACCATTCCTAGGTAATTCTAGAAACTTTAAAAGTTAGAAGGGGCTGAAGAACTAAGGCAGCCATAAACAGGAAGATGTGTTCATTAGATGTCCTAAAAATTCTTTATCCATCACAGTAGACTCGCTGCTTATGATGAAAAGAGTAACCAATTACCAGTGTAGCAGCACTACTAAGTCACAGATAATCATCAGGTAAAGTTCTGTCTCTTTGTTGCTAGAATTGCTTTTCACTACTGCACATAAACAGGAAAAGGTATATAAAGAGTGATCACTTACTACTTGAAGTAAAGAAAGATACCCAAATCCTACATTATCAAAGTTTACTTTCACGTTTTTCCATCGGGCACTTTGATTGTTTTTTATGAGTTCCTCGCACTGACTAAAATTGTTGATCTGGTCGACTTCAAACCTTTCATCAGTTGTGGTGTTAACACAGTAGTAGAACTTTCCAGCAAACAAATTTACTCCCATGATGCTGAAAATTAGCCAGAATATAAGACAAACGAGAAGCACGTTCATGATGGATGGAATTGCTCCTAAAAGGGCATTCACAACCACCTAGTACACAAATACAGGAGGAAAGAGAAAAGAGTATAAGCATATTTACAGCAATATATTTTTGTATACTGTTTCACCATTCCTTAATAAATGCTTATTCAGAAACTAATACTATAAAATTTAAAGCAGTACATTAATAACTGCAGCATTGCACCATTCCTTTAAATTAGCATTAGTACATGTAACGAAAAGAAAATAAATGAGAGAATGAAAATAATTAATAGAAAAACAAAAGAGAAGACCTGGTAGTAGTAAGATGATGCCTGACACTTACTTGTTTTAGATAAAAAAGAAAAATGTGCTAAATGAAAAATGTAGACATAATAAAATTCTAAAAATGCATGAAATTATAACTTAAAAAAAAGTTTAAAGCAAAATGGCAACCTGTAATTTGATCAACATAGTTTTGAAATTTAAGCTGAAAATACAAATGCCATGAATCTAGAAACTAAGCTCTACATAAAAGAATTATGCGCGAATTAAATACATAACTCTATTGCCTTATTGTTCCATGCAAGATTATAACAAAGATTAATTTCTTTGTATACGAAAGCAAGACAAGTTTGCAATATGTGTCTACTTGAATCAACATAATTTATTTCAAGCTCCAGTCTTGTTGTTTCATGTCTTAAGTTAGCAATACCCTTCATTTATCTAAAAAAGGATATATTTAGGATTTTTGATTTTGCATTTTGAATGATTTTTGAGGGGGTTGCCTCCTCAGACATTTGCAGGCAAGATGTCAATAAATTTTATATAGATAAAAATGTATTGTTCTGATATATACAATAATTAATCACATGTGTCTGTCAGACCTATCAAAACTTCTGTGATGAGCAATTATTTTTCCTTAAGTATCCAATTCCAGGTTCTCATTACAACTTATATTTTATTTTAAATTTTAAATTTTTTATTCTGTAAACTTTTGGGACCTGGTATAAAGGTAAAATAAAATATGAACAAGGGCTCTGACTCTCAGGAATCTAGGTCCTGCAGCCAGGCAGGAAAGGATTGGCATGGATATTGGAGTATATTAAGTTGTCTTAGTCCATCTCTATTCCCTGCAATATAGATGCACATTCCCCCACTACCAACACAGTTGTGAGCAACCTCAGAACTGCTCAGTTTTACTACCTGTATTTCACAGCCTCTGGAAGGCCTTTGGAAGAGGAATATTGTGGTTGTGTCATTCGTGAATCAGCACCCTCCTCCCCTCCTCCTCCCAAATGTTATGGCCAGGAATTAGCACCTGTTTAGAGATCTTACGTAGAAATGTTATTTTCAGGACATATTTTCTTTTCATTATGAAGGGTCTCCTCCATTGCCAGACCGTTGAAATGGACCTTTCTGTAGCAGAATAGTCCTTATCTTTTATAAAACCACAATTTTATTTTTAAATTTAGCAATTTTTTCTTTTTTTTAATATTGCTTTTATTTTTGGTGATTAAAAGATTCCAGTAATAAATCTGTTGTTACTTAGCTTCATGGAACTGAGAACAACATACAAATTAGAAATAGAATTAGAAATTCTGAAATTTGTTCCAAGTCTGACCTGATCTATGACACTGCATTATGCTACTGCTGCTTTGAAATTCTAGGCCAGCTATGTTTATCTTTTTTTCTCCCCACTCATAAAAATGTTCCAGATGTGTTACATTGATTGAATTCCTCTCTTTAGTCTTGATGAAAAACCTGAAAATAAAGATGTCAAGAAAGAAAGATGGGGATTTAGTTCTGCAACTCAAATGAATTAAGGTTACCTCTGCTTACACAAAGAATGGTTTTGCATGAATTGAGTGCCTGTAGCAGTTCTTTATAAAAACCCTGACATCCATTGAACCACAGCACAGATCCAGAACAGGCAGCAGAATACTAACAGCAACAAAAACTGTTACAATTATAAATTGATAATAATTGTAGAAAAAAGATTTCTACAAAACGCATCAGTGTGTCTTGCATCTTTAGATGAACAGGTAATGCAGTCTCACCACTGAGACTATGAAAAGATCAGCCACATCTTCTTGGATAAAAAGAGAACAGCTTCCAGCAACTGATCCAACAATGCTTCCAACAACTTATTCCATAGAGGTCACTGTAAACCCATCAAATGGTAATAATTTTTGGTCACTACTGACCTGGCCTGGATGCGAACTGGTGACCTAGAGATGAAAGGCTCTGTATCCTATTACCAACCCCTTGAGCTATCCAGTCCCCCTGGAAGATTTTTTAAGAAAAGAAGAAAAGAAAATTAAAACTTTTAGAAGCTGTTTTCTGTTTGCATTTTTTTCTGTTTGAATTGTTTTCCCCAACAGTGTTCAGCCTTACCTCTATCATACTTATAATGTAAAACTGTGTTGTTTCATGTTGGTCAGATACTCAGCTGACTCTAAAGTCCTCCTTAGCAAGAGGCTTTTCATTTCTTCAACACATAAAGTCCTCCTTAGCAAGAGGTCTTTAATTTCTTCAACACATACAGTTGGAGGTAATTGACTTAACAGCGTTTTTCTGTTCTACTTTTTTTTTTCTATTTGCTTTGAGAATTACCTGAGGTATCTCAGGATAATCGGGACATTAACTTAATATATATCCAAGACTGCACCCATACATACACAGACAACACCTACACACATAAGTTACAGCGAATGGACAGAAGAAAGGGAGAACCAGTTGAAAAGTGAACTGAATGCAGAAAAGAGGTCAATTGGCATTTCTTAATTAGTTAATTTAGCAAATAAAAATGGTCCTTCTCATGTTGTTGGAAAGAGTCTGTAGAAGGTTAAAAGTATGTTGATAACTACAGCTCTTATTTTTGCTTGCTCTTTACGGCAGATTTACATGATTCAAAATGCATTTTTTATTTTAAAAGGGGTTGTTTTCTTGGGCCTATTTTCTGTTATTTCTTTATACAGAGTATAATGCCAGTAAATTGGAAAAAGATGTTTTCACAGTTGTTTGTTTGGTTTTATAAATTACCTATGCATTTCCTCAAGGCTGGGATGTTGCTGGTCAGGCTGACTCCAGTGAGCAAAGCTGCAAAAGCCCAAGTTGATTCTGCTTGTTCACCTTCCTATAGCTTCAGGTAGGTGGAACAGCAATAGGAAAAAGTGAGAAGCAACACCTGATGCCTAAAAAGACAAAGGAGCTCTAGACTATTTTACATTTCAGTCAACATTCATCCAGGGGAAAAAAAAATCATTGTCGGATACCATGTCTCCTCTAGAAGAAAGCAGTAGTTCATATATACACACAATTTTTCAGGTTTAAATTTCCATAACAGTCATCTTCCAATATCAGATTTATATATAAGTTAAAATAATTAAGGCAATACTAATTGTATGTCCTATCTCCTGGCCCATATGACTTTATCTCAAAACAAATTAGTAATCCAGATGTTTTTCATGGTTGCTGTTTGTGTCTTCTTTTGAAAAACTCTCCAAAGAAAACAGCCAAAAAAAAAAAAAAAAAAACCACGACAAAAATCAGTTTTGCTGTCAGAACCATTCATATGTGTAGAATGAGGATTGTATAAAACACCAGCTTATCCCTGCTGTATGAATAGAATATAAGGAAGCTTTCCTAGACTGAGCCCTGCTGGGGGAGACATAGCTGAACACAGAGTGAGATATAAATGTATTTTAGTTGCCAGGTGAAAGTATTTTCCATAGATCCTGGCACCTCAGCTGCCACAGACTTTCCAGAATTTCTACATTGGAGCTGAGTAATGGATATATCAGGGCCTCCTAAAATCTGTAAACAAGTAAAAATCTTTAGGAGCACTTATCTACTTTTCCCAAAGCTTTTGCAGATTCTGTGAAAAAGTTCCAGGCTCTGTTCCTGGTACAAATGAGGAGGAAGTTACCATCTTTGGGATGGAAAGGGAGATTACAGGACTGTGTGTAGAACATTCTTTCTACACAAAATTAAAAAGTACTTTATTTGCTTCCACTTGGAAGGTATCAAGTTCATAATTTTATGCTTAAATAGGAAAAGTTCCCAAAGAGCTGTCAGAGAGAACATTCGCATTGAAAAATGGAGAAGTGAGCAAGTAGACATTGGTTTAGATTCTTGGTGCAGCACATAGGTAAGACTGCTGGAATGGCAGGAGGTATGCCATGAATGGACACAGATGTAGGCATGTAGGTGACAATGGGATCTGCATTTACCACGTGTTCATAGTGAAGGACCTGGAGGACAACACACAAGGAAGTCTAGAAGACTGAAACCATGGTGGGTATCAAGTAGCAGACAAGTGTATTTTCCCCCAAACTGTGGAAGAGTTGAGGCAAGGGAGGAAAGGATAGTAACTGTATGTGAATATACAGTAACTATCCCAGGCAGGGGATCAAAAGAGGCACCTGAGGCAGACCATGAAGAAAGCCCACCCCTTAATTAAAATATTAACTACCTGATGCTTTAATATTTGCTGTCTGTTCTCCCTGGTACTGTAAAATTGATGATAGAAATTGCCTTTCTCTGAAGTTAGAGGAGCCTCTTCTACAAGTCATAACACAGCAGAAAGCCAGTGGGATTGGAGGAAATGGTTATGAGGCTTAATTTAGGAGCAGCTAAGTCAGTTGAAAATGTTTGTCACAAAAAGCAATGGAGGTCGTGGACCCGAGGGCCAGCACAGTGAATAAAAACATGGCCCAGTGCTGAGGATTAAGAGTGACCCTCAGCATTGCTCTGGGATCTCGGCTACAGCTGCTTAGTGTGAGGTTTGGAGATGCCCAGGAAGGAAGATAACTGTGATGCAGTACAGGAAAAATATTCCCACATAAGATACCCTGTCTCCTCTGAGTGCATACATGGAGTTGGATTGAAGATGGCTGTTGGGAGGGAAAGGTTAAAACGGGAAGATTTGGTGAGGAGGGAATCATTTCTCTCAAAGTGAACTTGCATCTGGGAATGCTAAGCATGTCAGAGTGGGAAAACTCCATTTATTATGCCTAGTGTTGTTTATCCTCTGCCTGTTTTGAGAAGTAGAATTTCTGCATAGACAT